TCTTAGATTTATGGTAGGATCTACTCCCGTTTTTGCTAGACCGCAATTTGAATATGTATAGCGATATGTATAACGAAAGTATTTGTACAACATTTTAAATTTCCCATTATTTATATTTCTAAGATTTACTAATTTTTTACTCTGCATAAGAGATTCCAATGTAAATGGATTCTATATAAACTTTGTATCTAATTCATATGTGTGGTGCCACGCCCCTATTGATAGTCCACCTAATTTGAGGATTAGAGTTCTAATAGTTTTCAAGATTTTCAAAGTTAGATATGAAGTAGGTAGGTACGTTGATAGGAGGATGTATACTACATCATATCCGAAGAAATACACCTAGGCCATTATCGGGCCTGTTGTGCGCTCCTTATCATGAAAAAAAGGAACTGAATGAATTAATTTTCAGTGTTCATAAACTCAGTTTCCTGAACGTAATTCCTAAGAATCTTCCAATCAGTGTTAGTCAGAAATGTTATTTCCGGAATAACATCACTTTCAAGATATTTGGATCTAACTTCGACGAATGCCTGGCAGTGGCAAAGAAAGTGCTCCAGAGTTTCACTGTCCTCTCCACATGCCCTACATTCGTCTGAATCCGCACGTCCAATTTTGCATAGATGTGCGCGTAATCCTGTGTGTCCACTCAACATACGTACCATCATACTAACTTCAGACTTGCTCATTTTGAGGAGATTTTTCGTCTTGCTCTCATCAGGGTCACCCCATAGGATCTTCGTGGTTCTACCCACTGTTTCATTATTCCAAGAGCCCTTATGGGATTCTCTCACCCATATTTTTAGTTCAGCTTTTGTTGCGTCGAATGGTTTCGCGTTTGTCAGGTTAACTGCCTCAAGCTCCCTACCCTTTAAAGCTATTACATTCGCCCTTTCGTTATCGACTACTCACGAGTGGGCTGGTACCCATATGATGTGAACCTTACCTCTGGGAGAGTATTCAGTTAAAGCTTTCTTACAATCCAATACGGTCTTAGATTTGGTTCTATCGCCTAATATCGCCCTAATTGCCTTCTGGCTATCGGTAAATATATTAAGCGCTGTGGGCGCCATATTTATTCTAATCCAATTAGAATAAATAGATATGAAGTAACTTTAAAGAAAACAGTTTCTCTTAACGACTAGAACAGGACATTCACAGAGAATATGGAAGACCGTTTCTTTCTTTTCCCTGTCTTTGCAACTGCGACTGTGTTCATTGAAGGGGAACCCAACCTGACTTGCATGTGTGTCTGTTACTACTTATATCATCCTCCGGCTACTTCGGTTTATAAGATGTCTTGTGCGTTTCTCATTGAAGGAGGTCCATAGATGGAGGTCCCCTCCATCTATTTTCAGCCTTTTGAAGAAAGAATCTGAGGGTACTGCTTTTGATAAAATCTAACAGAGTTGCTACTGAAACGGCTTTGGAGATATCAAGAGCAGATCCCGTTCTGGCAAGCTCATCTGCCTCTTTATTTCCATAATAGTCCCTATGAGCAGGGACCCAAACAAGGGTAATTTCAGACAGGCGACCCAACCTTGACAGATCCTTCTTAAATTGTCTAACTAACAGGGAAGTGGTAGTATAAGAGTTTAGTGAAAGAAGTGCCGCTTGACTATTGACAAAAATTTCTATATAGCCGCGAATATTGAGATCATGTAGTATCCTATAGGCTGACATTATTGCAAATATTTCAGCCTAAAAGACACTACAGTTGTGGGGAAGACGGTGAGATATACATACCCCAACTTCTTCACAGAAGACACCAGAACCAACAACACAGTTCATATTAGAACCAACTGTAAAGATTATGGTGGTATATAAGCTCGGTAGGTTTCCCCTACTCCACTCGCTCCCAGAAGGAATTCTGACTTTTAAAACTCTATCAAAGTCTTTGTGTGGGGTAATATAGTCGGATAGTTGCTTCAAGATAGTAGGCTTAAAATCTTAGCGTGTCCATATGTTTTTGATTTCCAACTTCCGGACGAGTTAAGCTTCTATAGGTAGGTTGTGCAATATATGTGTGTGAAGTTAAATTCGAATTTAACTAGCAGAGACACAAACCACATTTTTTAACATTGCTCTTTTTGCATCTAACAGAGCAATGCATTTAACAGAAAGTACATGAAAAATTTAAAATAAATACATTAAAATGTTCAGAAAATAAAAAACAAAAATTTCAGAACTTAAAAAAATATGAAAAATAAAAAATATTTTTTGAAAAAAATCAATATTTTAATAAAAAAAGTTAAAAATTCTCTAAAAAATCAATATTTCAATAAGAAAAATGTTAAAAATTCTCTAAAGGATTGGTGTTCAATTTGGACAAATATGGAAATGCACACGTATACCACTATATGGGAGTAGTAGTCTAAAGGGTCCCTAACAGGATTCCGAGAGTCATATTTCTGGAATAGTTTTGGAAGTTTTTTAAAAAAATTTTGAAAAAATCAATATTTCAATAAGAAAAATGTTAAAAATTCTCTAAAGGATTGGTGTCCAATTTGGACAAATATGGAAATGCACACGTATACCACTATATGGGAGTAGTAGTCTAAAGGGTCCCTAACAGGATTCCGAGAGTCATATTTCTGGAATAGTTTTGGAAGTTTTTTAAAAAATTTTTGAAAAAATCAATATTTTAATAAGAAAAATGTTAAAAATTCTCTAAAGGATTGGTGTTCAATTTAGACAAATATGGAAATGCACACGTATACCACTATATGGGAGGAGTAGTCTAAAGGGTCCCTAACAGGATTCCGGAAGTCATATTTCTGCAATAGTTTTGCAAGTTTTTTTAAAATTTTTTGAAAAAATCAATATTTCAATACGAAAAATGTTAAAAATTCTCTAAAAGATTGGTGTCCAATTTGGACAAATATGGAAATGCACACATATACCACTATATGGAAGTAGTAGTCTAAAGGTCCCTAACAGGATTCCGAGATTCATATTTCTGCAATAGTTTTGGAAGATTTTTTTAAATTTTTTTAAAAAATCAATATTTCAAAAAGAAAAATGTTAAAAATTCTCTAAATGATTGGTGTCCAATTTGGACAAATATGGAAATGCACACGTATACCACTATATGGGAGTAGTAGTCTAAAGGGTTCCTAACAGGATTCCGAGAGTCATATTTCTGGAATAGTTTTGGAAGTTTTTTAAAAATTTTTGAAAAAATCAATATTTCAATAAGAAAAATGTTAAAAATTCTCTAAAGGATTGGTGTCCAATTTGGAAATGCACACATATACCACTATATGAGAGTAGTAGTCTAAAAGGTCCCTAACAGGATTCCGAGAGTCATATTTCTGGAATAGTTTGGGAAGTTTTTTAAAAAATTTTTGAAAAAATCAATATTTCAATAAGAAAAATGTTAAAAATTCTCTAAAAGATTGGTGTCCAATTTGGAAATGCACACATATACCACTATATGGGAGTAGTAGTCTAAAGGGTCCCTAACAGGATTCCGAGAGTCATATTTCTGGAATAGTTTTGGAAGTTTTTTAAAATTTTTTTGAAAAAATCAATATTACAATAAGAAAAATGTTAAAAATTCCCTAAAGGATTGGTGTCCAATTTGAACAAGTTTTGGAATAGTTTTGAAAGTTTTTTAAAAATTTTTTGAAAAAATCAATATTTCAATAAGAAAAATGTTAAAAATTCTCTAAAGGATTGGTGTCCAATTTGGACAAATATGGAAATGCACACGTATACCACTATATGGGAGTAGTAGTCTAAAGGGTCCCTAACAGGATTCCGGAAGTCATATTTCTGGAATAGTTTTGGAAGTTTTTTAAAAAATTCTTGACCCTTTAGACTACTACTCCCATTGCAAGTCCTCTTATTTTTTGTCATAAATATTTACATTGACACTTAAGAGACTCCGAAAAAATATAAAAACTCCAGACGTTTCTCATATATTCTAATATAAAATGCCACACACACTGTACCTAGATTGCCCATATTGTTCACAAGTGTTCATATTTGCTGTATGTGGGCGAGGTATCTCTCCTCCTTAAAATTTCGATGTAAAAGTTTTCTTTATTTGGATTGATAGTAGTTGTAATTCAAGTTTTACCAATCGCTCCAGTCGTTTAGATGTCTACAGACTTCAAACCCAAATTAATTTTTATATATTAGATTTTTCGATAGTAGAAAGGGTATTTCAATGTCGATTTACTACTCTTAAAAAGTTGTGTATACATTTTTTAATTGAATATAATTTTGAGGGCATCTGGTGTTTTATAGGTAAAATTAAGCACATGCATTAAAACCAAATGAAAGAGTGTTTGTTTGTGGTTTTTAATGAAATTAACAATCACTGTAAACTACACCTTTAACAAATACATACATATGTATACATTTACACTGGAGCTGTGAATATGAACTAATACAATTTTCAGTATATATAAATTAGGGTGAATATTACCAAAATTCTCAAGTTATTTAACATTTCAATTTAAAACTATATCGCTGGATAAAATTTCAAAGTGCTAGAAATTAAATGACAAAATCATTTAGATCGTATTAAGTACTTTGTAGAGTCTGTCAACGATATTTGAAGTCTTCAATTGTTTTCTTTAAAGTCGATTTTTCGATTTAATGAAATTTTTTAAAATTACACTATTACATGAAATATTGCAAAAAACTGATCCAACTTAATATATGTACATATTTTACTCATACTTACAATTTGCGATTAAAAATTAAAAATATCCAAATAAAAAACAACATCATGATTTATTTTTTTTATATTTTTTTTGTTTTAATTTTGTATGTATATATTTTTTTATTTAAAAAATACTCATATTTAATTATGATACGTTTAAAAGTGTGCGTGTATACATACATACACACACATACCAATAAACATATGATTTAATTACACGCAAATTGCGGATTTACAAACATAAACTTTTTTTTATTTATCAATACATATTAACATTTTTATATATTATTTTTTAAAAAGGAAGAAAAACAAAAAACATTACTAATTGAATGTTGAGGAAAATAAGATTTAATATTTTGTTGCATTGTATTTTTTAATTTTTTTTTCAAGGAAGGTAGGAATCCTAGTAGGAGGGAAGAACAGTGTGTGGTTTGTGTTTTGTCGAAAGCCTTCTCCTTACAAAAATGGTAATGTATGTTGTACTTGCATATAGTAGTTGTTATTGTTTATGGTGTTGTATTGGTATTGCAATGATGTGTGTTTTTGTAAGTATGTATCTGTGGGTGTATTTCGATATTGACGAACAACATAATTTGGCTGTAGGGTATATGTGTAAACACACTAGCACACCCATACACACATACACACACTTACATTTACACATATACAAACATTTTGTTTGTATTTACATGCCACCATTTTGTAAATCAGCTTCATATGCTTCATGTTCTTCTTGTTCTTCATCGAATTCAACATCATCGTCAGTGGTTGCCTCCTGTTGTTTGAGAAATAAAAGAAGCAAAGAAAACAAACAAATGAACAAACAAACAAACAAATGAAAACAAAAATTAAAGAAAAAAAAAAGAATCATCACATCATCATCGTCGTCATCAGTGTAATGTAACGACGTGATGAAGGTTCAACAATAACATCACCAGAAACAAAATTGAAAAATTGTTTTTAATTAAAAGTAGCAAATGGTTTCCGTTTCCTGTTCAATATACATATGACTATCGTATGCATATTTGCGAATATTAACAGTGATAATGAAAAGTATTCGTTCCGTGGTTTATACCCTTCAATTGTTCGGCCCATTTCCATCTGTTGTAATCAGTTTTCTAGAAATACTAAATTTTCAGTTAACCGAAGAATCGGTTTCTTAAAAAGTTTCTTTTTATTACTTTTAGCTTTTATCTTTTTCGTAACGCATGACATTTTTTTTTTTAATTTTCTCTCAATGACCGATTTGGCCCATTTCCAATACAATACATAGCTGATCATCAATTACTCTCCTCTGGGTATTTTGTGCGTAAATTAATATCAAAAATGGTTTAAACTGTTTAACTATAATGTTTCTCCTAAATAAATTTAATTTCCCTAATATCCTCAACACTTTTGCTCTTTACTGTATTCAGCAGCCTTATGATAGGCTACAGAATTTGTTTATTGTAACTACACACGTGTATGTGTAAATGCCTTTCAAGTTTACACACTAAACATTCTCTAAAACACAATATTTCTCTTTCCTTATATTTTCATTCCGAGAAAAAGGCAACTAACAAAAATTGTGTTTGTTATCCTTTTTCTAATTTGTTGTTATTGTGAACATTTACACGTACAATTACTATTTCTTATAAAAACACACATATGTACATTTATAAATTACATGTATATTTGCCATACCTGGTATTGTTGATATTCCGATATCAAATCATTCATATTCGATTCAGCTTCAGTGAATTCCATTTCATCCATACCCTCACCAGTGAACCAATGCAAGAAAGCCTTACGACGGAACATAGCAGTAAATTGTTCCGATATTCTCTTGAATATTTCCTGAATAGCGGTAGTATTACCAATAAATGTACCAGACATTTTCATGCCACGTGGTGGAATATCACAAACAGCAACCTTAACATTATTTGGAATCCATTCAACGAAATAACTGCTATTTTTACTCTGTACATTGAACATTTGTGTGTCGACTTCTTTCATTGACATGGGACCTGGAAAAATACCATAAACAAGATATTGATTACATTATAAGGTTTTATATGTAAATTATAAAGAATTTCTAATTTCTAAATTTTAAAAATCTCAAAAGTAACACCAAACATAAGTATATTTTCTAATTAATTAAAAATTTTAATTAAATGCGTGTTTAGTATTATAATTAATTTGTTGATATTTTGTATTTCATTTTCTGTTTTCACATTTATTCCTTACATTGCATGTATAACATTTTTAGGACAAAAGTCAACATGTTTTTTTTCAAACTAATGAACACAATTTTATATTTATTAATCAGCATTAACAATTCCTTTTATCTTAAATAAAAAAGCTCAAAAACGTATAAGCCTACAAGAAGCAAAATATTATTGCACGTTGGGACAGATATCATAAATTTATTATAATAAATAAATTTATTATAATGAAATTGAAAAAATAGCTATCGAAAATCCATAGGACAATTTTGCGAGGATCAATAGGTGAAAAGCTACAGTCATTTGAAAAAAACCCTGTATGACCAAAATGTCCAACTTTGACTCCCTCTAACTGCGGCAGTTCTTGACTGATAGAGCTGAATATTTGTGTTTGGCCTACTATTCAATAGTACTAATCTTGGTGCAAAAATTGCTAAAAAGTTGCCTCTTAGTCAGACTATTTTGTTTATTTTTATACACTTAAGATTGGTATTATGAAAAATTCTGAAAGTGGAGTTTAAAAAAGTACCAAGAAGTTCCCTCATATAAAAAGTTCGTTTTAAAAAATGTACCGAATTATTCACCCGAATTTGGTCATATTTCCCATTTTTGGTACCCTTTCTCTCACTAGCGATGAATTTCACAAAAGTACCAAACTTAAATTCGTAATTTTTCAATAAGGTATAAATGTCATATGAATTTTACTTCAATGTTTACAGGTTTAAATGATATTTGGCACAAAAAAAGTACCAAAGTACAGATTTCTCCCTTAAAAAGAAGAGACATTCGAAAAAGTACCAAACACATGTACGCTTATTTTTCTAGTAAACAACCATAAGTGTAAATTTTTGTTGTATCTGTTTAGGGGAGGAGGTTACCGAATTTATCTCTTTTTACATTTTTTAACCCCTAAAACTTCGAATTTCTTAAAATATATCTACTGTCAACATATCATGATTCTAGGTTCAACCATTTAAGCCGTGCGATGATCTATCAGTCAGTACATACATATAAGAAAACCCCACCGAACAATAAATAACACAGTGCAACACAAAAAAATATATTCATATATGGACACCACTATGTGATAAAAGACCAGTTTTGCTCAAAGTCATGTACTTGCTTATGGGTTCCCAAAAATTTGGAACCTCAGTGCAATTTTTGGAAAAAATTATCATTTTCTCAGGCTCTCTTGCACCCCGTTCGGAATTTTGATTTACTCTCTGAGCCAATGTTGTAGCTCTTGTCAGCTCGCAAAATACTAAAATAAATCGACATATTTTTACTTTCAAGAGCTTTTCTAAATTAGACGTATACTTAATATTTGTAATATCAATAAATCATGAAAACGTATACGTACAGGAGCCCTTAATAAAAACAGTGCAATTTCACTTCCACTTGTTCACGATTTTTTTTCTTTATGACAAGAACGGTTTGCAATATATGAGCCCGCAAAATGACACAGAGTAGCTAAATTTTAGGGGCCCATGAAAAAGTTCATGACTTTGGGCAAAACTGGGAGATATATGTATGTGTACATAGGTCTTTTTTTTGGCCTTTTATTACGTAGCGGTGTACGCACATAGAGGGAAAATACACGCCTAGTGCCAAATTGACACCAATCTGTTTATAATTTTTCAATAACATCCGTTGTCAAAGTACATACATACGTACGACAACACTATGTAATGTTGAAAACATTGCAACAATTCGTTGCCGAAATCTAAATTTTATACACATCCGTTGTCTAAGTGTTAACAAACGTGGTAAGCTCACTATTGACAAACAATCCGTTGCCAATAGTGGGCTTACCACATTTGTTAACATTTAGACAACGGATGTGTATAAAATTTTGATTTCGATAACGAATTGTTTGAATGTTGACAACGCAACAAATGTATGTATATACTTTGACAACTGATGTTATTGAAAAATTATAAACTCTTTGGTGTCAATTTGGTACCAGGCGTGTATATTTTTTTCCCCTCTGTGTATATGGTTACATTTCCACAACTAAAAAAATTACACATAGTGTAAGAGAAGATTAAAGTATGTATCTGTCTTATTTATTGTTTGTTTCAAATATTGTAGAAAATATCCTTTTTTCATTGATAGCCAAAAATTTATGGTTTATTTATTGCCCAGTTTTAAGTACGTTTGCCCCAACGTGAAGAGAAGAAAAAAAAAAAAATAACATATTTACATTTTATTTGACTGATGACTAACAAAAAAATAAAACATAAAAATACATATTTAAATTAAAATACAAATAATTAGAATTATATCAACTTTAAGACCATAGAGACCAAACAAAGAAAGTATAAATACAGACCGTGTATGCGTGCCTCTTAAATATTAAAACAAATGATCCTTAAAAATAACTGACACACAGAAATGTACTTATGACGGTTGTTTACGTGAAAGTATGTATTGCTATTAAATAGAATGTAAGAGTATAGGGTACAGATATGCTCCTCCCTTGCTGTACTCGTGTTAGTCAAATTGTTATTTTTACAGGAACATTATACCCGTGGCAAAATAATTAATCAAAAAATTTATGCTTAAAAATAGTGGTCTTCTGGGTATATGCACACACACAAACCTACACTGAATGCCAAGAGTGGGTATACGCTTTTATTTTATAGATTTGAACTTTTAACTGGGCTTTTTGTTTAGCAGTAAAATTTCTAAGTATTTAAATACTCTCGTCATATACATATATTTTCATTTTAATTTGACATAAGCTGTGGGCCAGTTCTATGTGTGTTTAGCGTGGACTCCTGTTCAAAAGGTGTCAGGTGCACGTTTTCTGTTGTTTTTGAGGGCTTTGAGATTTAAAAGACGTTTAAGTAGATTTTATTATCGTTGGCCAACATTTACAATTTATGTGTTTTTATTTATACTGTTTTTAACTTTCTGTGCATAAACTTAATCTTATAAATTTTTTGTGTTGTTTTATTAAATGTAAATCTTTGGTAGCTTATGAACTGTAAACTAAATGAGGTGAAATTTTAATGTTTTAATATTGTTTTTAACATTTAAACAAGAGGAGCGAGACAAGATTGCCATGTTATTTTTATTATAATAAAAAAATGGGATTATGATTTGCAGTAGAAAGTTTATTTTAACACAACATTGTCAGCATTGCAACAATTCGTTGTCGAAATCAAATTTTTATACACATCCGTTGTCTAAATGTTAACAAATGTAGTAAGCTCACTATTGGCAACGGATTGTTTGTCAATAGTCAGCTGTTGTCAGTGAGATGTTGTCAACATTACATAGTGTTGTCGTACGTATGTACATATATACTTTGACAACGGATCTTATTGAAAAATTATAAACAGTTTGGTGTCAATTTGGTACCAGGCGTATATACATATTTATTTTTTCCCTCTGTGTACTTGTCCGCTTACTTGTAACATTTTTAAATTATTAAATTAAATTTACCCGTTTCGAATTTCAAAAATCCCTCCTTAGTGGATCTACATGACCATAATAAACACACTGTCAAAATATCATGATTCCAAGTTCAGCCATTTGTACATCAAGCAGGCATATTGCCAAGTTATCACACCTGTGTCCGGAGAAACCCTACCAAACGACCTATACCTTCATATAGGAAGTTGGAGCACCGAACTTAGTTAAATCAAAAGAGTTTTTTAATGGTCCCCAGCATAAATTGAGTTTAAATGGTGTCCTCCAGGTTATATCCTGAGTATTATATGGTCTCCACCAATTACACACATAACCGCACTCTGAGGTAAAATGAAAGCAAGCGTTTAAAGCCAACAACGCATAACTTGGAAACAGTTATACGAAGTAATCCATTAAATTAGTGCGCGTTAGACCCAATTGAATTTAAATGGTATCCTCTAGGTTGAATCCAGAGTATTATATGGTCTCCACCAATTACACACATAACCCCTCCCTGAGGAAAACCGAAATCACGCGTTTAATGAAAACAAAGCATAACTTGGAAACAGTTATACGAAGTAATCCGTTAAACTAACGCACGTGAGACGCAATTCTGTCTAAAGCTTGGCAACAAATACAAGTCTGGCCGTCCATATGAAATAATGGAGATGACGTGAGAGTTGTTCTGCAACTCAGACCTCAATCACGACTGTAATCATATATTGGAAAAACACAGTAAATCGAACTAATTTTTTTCGAGAATATTCTTAGAATTTGAATTTTGATAAATTTTAAAATTCCCCTGAAAGTATGCAACATTTGTTTAAAGGAAATCAAAAAATATTAAATCTTAATATAATGAACATTTGTATAAGCTTTCAAGTTATCTTTTAACAATTAGTTGGCATCCCTTAAAATATCTTTCCCATTCTACCCATTAGCTCTAAAGAAAACATTTTCAATTATTAATGATGAGCTGTTAAGGGAGACAACAACAACAACTACTACAACGATCTCTGTTAGCTACACATAAAGTTGTAAGTAAGTCTTTATTGCTTTTTGACAATGCAAAGAGCAGGGAAAAAAAATTTAAATCTTTCTTGCATTCCTATGGGAATGTAAACATTTTTTTTGCTTTCCCTTCTAATACGTGCAAAGTAGGAAAGAAAACAGAACTAAATATGTCTACTACATTTAAATATATGAGCCTGTTGCGTCGCAAAGGTAATAAATAGAATAACGTGTCTTTTAATTAAGATTCTTCTTGCTACTTTATTCTCTTTTTCATTTATTTTACTTTTTTTTCGTTATTTAAATTTTTTGTTTTGCTCTAAGTATACTGTTTATGCGATAAACAATTTGTTGTTTGTTTTTAGGTTATTATT